CCATTGAGTGTTTTCTTACTAGAATATTTGAAAATCTAAACTCAATTATAAATTAATGTTCTTGTTTCCACTTTATCAAATATATTTTAAAATGCAATTATACGCTGCCCCAGAACCCAGTTTTAAATAATCTGGACCTCGAGCTGAATAATGTACATTAGAAAACTAGGCTGAAGGAGAGCAGTAATCAGGGCCTGTGTGTGCTAATCCTCTCTTACCGATGTGATTTGATCATCAGGGGTTCAGCAGACACTACGAGGCAATCTCTATGCAACCCTGTCCCATGTCTGTGAGTATGGGCAACCCTGCCTGCTGTTGCATCCCATCTGCTGGATGTCACACTGCCGGGCCCTCTAGAACCTGCCTCCCACCACAAGATTGCAAAGCTTCGTTCCAGTTCTGGCTCTAATCCCCACTTGCTATACACCCCTGGGCAGGCTGCATTGCACCAGTAAGCCTCCTTGTCATTGACTAGAGTGGACATTCCCTCCAAGGACTCTTGTAGGACACATGAGACAGTACATGCTAAGTATCTGGCAGTGTGAGTGGGCCTTTTGAATAGAACATGTGTTAATTACAACTGTGATTGGCTGGAATCAGGCCCCCTAGGGAGACCTCGCCTACCATGGGCAGTTTGGACTGAGTCTGAAGATTCTAACCCAGGCAGGAAGTATGTGCAGGCCTGCCTCATACTTTGGTGATTCCTCCGCAAAGTGCCCACTCCAACCTTCAGAGATCCGAGTATGGATCCTCTTGCATGATTTCCACAGAAGCACCTTTTATTCTCAGTAATTGGGATAAATTCGTGTAAGCATGTGACCCTCTGGATCCATGAGTCCTTCATACAAAACTGAGGGGTGGGATTGATTGTCTCTGGTTCCCTTTCTGCTCTCAAGTTTTATAATTCTGAAGTTCACAAGAGAATCAACAACAGAATGTAAAGCCCCTCAGAGGCACATGATGCAGACCTGGTGCAGGAGGACACCAGGCTGCCGGCCAGTGGAGCAGGGATGAGCTGCCGCTGGGCCAGGGCATGGAGCTCAGAATGGGCTGAAACTGGGTGAAGACAGGGTGGGGTGTTTTCTGGGCAGCAGCGCCAGGAAATGCATTTGGGAGCCCCTTGGCAAGCCTTCACGCTTCCTGACATTAAATATTTATCCTGTCTTTCAAGTGCCCTGAGCATTGCACTGAGCAACGTCCAGCTGAGACAGACTCATGGCACATTTCTCCATCCTGTCACAGGGCAGAAGAAGGACTCAAGCAGGAAGCCCGGCAGACAGTGCCAGATGGCCCGGGGGAAAGGTGGGCTCTTCAGGCCAGGAGAGCAGAGGGTGCCAGCCTCCTTGGGCGAGGGATTTCAGGGCAGAAGGAGGAAGGCTCCTCCGGTCCCTCTCACTCCACCTAAGCATCTGAGAAATGAGGGAGGACTTCCATGGAGCCTGGGGAGCGGAGGCCCACAGAACAACTGGAGGCCCAGAGAAACAACCAGAAGTCCAGGGGGGCACCTACTCAACATCTGCTTATTAATCATGTTTACGTGGATAGAATTTTACGAGGTTCAGTGGGAGATAGAAAGCAAGTTTAAGAGAACATTCGTGTCTTAAAGCGAGGGGAGCAAAACAGGAAAAATGTTAGAGGTCAAAATGAAGTGCTGTCCAGTGTGGGAAAATGAAGTGCTGTGAAGTGTGGGATAAACTGTTCGGCACAGTCCTCAGACCCCTGGTGCCCAATACCTGGGTTGGTGGATTCCAAGAAGGTCCTGGGCGGCTGAGCCGACCCCAGGGGCTTGCACTGAGAGTGGGCACCACCACCAGGGGCATTCCTGCAGGAGGCCTGGGAGAGCCCTGGTGTCAGTGAGGGGCAGAGGGAAAGGGGCTGGGCTGCCCATGGAAGTAATGCCAACCAGAAAGGAATTCCCTGGTGCAGTCTCCAGAACCTGCTGCCAACAGATATCCAATGGTTCTGCTGTCAACAGAACTGTTTCACCCCATGTTGCCCATTTTGATGTTTTTCTCCTTTCATTAAATGCAGCTATGAAGAGACCAATTTGATTTCCTCATGCGGCACCTTCTGGGCCACCGAGGGTGACAAAGGTGAAACCCCAGCAAGAAAAGCATCAGCGAGGCTCCCTTCTCCCCACCGCTTTTATGAGAGACGCTGACTCTAATTCTCCTGGCAGAGAATCTGAGGCTGGCATCATCAGCCCCTTCTGCCTTTGGCATGTCCACTTTCAGAAGGTCGACCATGTCTGTGAGTAGAAGGTAAGGCAGGGCCACTAAGCACTTCCTCCTCAGCTCGGTACCTAATTCACAGGTAAATGCCAGTCATCCTAAGACCTCAGAGCACCGGCAGCCCTCCAAGGGGCCAGGGAGTGAGCAGTTAGGTGGAGCGGTATTCTCCAGGTCCACCACGGACTATTGGGGATATGCAGAGTGTTGGAAGGAGCGTAGAGAGTCAGATACAAAGCCTAACTAAGCCTTCGGAAACCACCCCTATACTCTGATGTTCTAAATGTTGACAGTTAAAAGTCTTCACTGAGTGGTGTGCTCACTTATTGGGCTGAGAATTCTTTCCTGGAGTTGACAAGCATTTCACCTGGGCAGAGAACTGCAGCCAGCCCCGGGGATGTCACATTTATGGATCCACTGTCCCAAGTCGGGAAGAACAAACACCTTCAAGGTCCACCTCCCTGGCCCTGGAGTGACAAGGGCTTCTTAAGCAGGAAGTAGGTACCAGGTCATTTGTAGCCACGGGATTTTCTCTCTGAGATACCACAGAGCCCAAAGCATTTCCTAGCCTGTGGTACACAGGTGCCAGGGTCTTGGGAGGTCCCTGGGAAGGGGAGGGGACATGGGGCTACAGATGACATCTTGACAGCCTCCTGGGTAGACAGGATGGAGCGAGAGCTCTGCCAGGTGTGAGAGGGAGGGGTCTCTGCAGGCTGAGGGCCGGCATCAGAAAGAGCAACACTCAACGAAGGCAGCAGAATTGTTCTTGAGATTCTTTTTTGGGCCTGAGCTCTGTGCTTCTTTTCTATAATAACTTAGTGGGAAGAAAAATCAGCTTGAAACCCTAAATATATACCACCACCCCACACCTCAAACCAGAGTCCTTGGAATAGAAAATGCAAAACATGGCTTCTGAGCGCCAGGCTGTCAACGGCCTTTGTGAGAAGGAGGTTGGGATTCTCAATGGCACCACAATGAGGGACCCTGAGAAACCAGCTGTGGAGGCTTCTGTCGGGGGAAAAAGAGACTGTGGGGCCCTGTGCTTCCCACCCCAGGGAATGACTCTGGGGATGGGGGACACCAGGCACCTTTACATAAGAAGCACTTTAGAACGTTGACCAGGACCCGGGACCCAGTCCTTCAGTGTGTGGGTCACTCTCCTATCTGACCTCTCCTCTCTACAGCCTGCATGGTCCCCAGGGGGTTTTCAGAGACATGGGACACTAACTGTGCACATAAGTAAATCATAAACCACAATTCCATGTTGGGGAGAGTCTTCAGTGCAATCTGAAAGATCTGAACTATCCTAGAGGGAGCAAAACCCACCAGAGTTTGCAAACACAAGGCGGAGGAGGCACAGGGCGTGTGGAAAGGCAGGGCGCACTTAGGAAGCCTAACCAAAGGATGGTCCAAAAGCTTAGGCACATGAGACCGGAAAGCAACAGATGGTGGGTCACTGTTCCTCAGAGCTCCTGAAGTGGGGACAGGCCTGGAGAGGCCTGTGCATTGATGGCACCGTACTGATGTGGTCACCAGTAGCCATGGCACTGCAATGGAGAAGCAGACACAAAGTGTAAACTCCACAGAAAGAGACCAGTGTGGCTTGTGGGTGTGTGTGATCCTGAGAGGTGGAGTCGGCCCCTTGCTCATACCACCTACACGGGCTGTCACAGTCTAGCCGGCAGAGGAAATCATGATTTTGAAATTATGAAGCTATTTATAGTCTTTCTATAACCTCTGACATCACACAACATAATCTATTGACAACTATTTTAAAAATTATTCTTTTTTATGTTCTATAATAAATTATTATCACAGGAATCCGCTATTGTGTGTAACTATAATGCACCAATAAAAACCAAGAATTTAACAGAGGGAAGACCAAGAGAGTGGAGGAAGGAGATTAGGCAGAGGGAGGAGGGTGAGAAGGGGTGGTACAGGGGATGGGTGTGGAGCACATTATGTTATATGCATTTATTAATATGTCAAAATGAGCCCCACAATTATGTACAACTATAATGCACTAATTAAAGAAATCTGTACAATAAAAAATATCTTTCAGGCTTCTCTGGAGAATGCCCATGGGTTCTGCTGGAAATCTGGCTCAGTGTGGCCCCTTCTGCTTTGATCCGTCTGCAGTGAGCAAGAGGAAGCACCGACCTATGCTTGGGGACTGCTGTCTGTTGGCTTTCTGAGGACAGCCCGCACTGAGCTCTGGCCAGCCGGCAACACTTGTGACACTCAAGGATAAGCTGAGATTTAACTCATATCCAGAACCAATATTTAAGCCACAAAAGTTGACGACAGTTGGCTAAAATTGAAATACTAATAATGTAAGATATTTGACCATTTGTCATCTTCAAATATTCCAGAATTTTATATCTTGAAAGTGGATGTCAAAAATGTATTTGGCTCAAATTTTACCCCCCCCGCCCCAAGAAAAGCTTCCTGTTACACTGATATTTACTGGTGTGGATACTCAGAAAACTTAAAGCAGAGGATAAATTGTTGACAAAAACAAATTGGCAAAAACATTATTTCAGGGTGTGACAGGCGACGGTTTAAATAATCTTCAGTTAGCATCTGTCTTGTCCAAGAGCTGCCTCAGTTCACACCTAGGGCTGCTAATCTGAAGGGCACGTACTCCTTTGCTGGGAACCGCACTCTTGAAGTGTAAATCAGCGAGCACCCTATATTTGAATATTTTAAGCAAGAAATCCCGTTTTATAAACTTAACACAGTTTTAAAGAGTCCCACATTTGAAGTACCTACCAAAATCTGTCCAGCAAAGCAGACCAAAAGGATGAAGGCCAGAGACAGGAACGCAGCTCCAAAGGAAACGCCGAGGACCGTGGTCCTGCAGGAAACAAAGGCCACAGGTTAGGGGACACCAAGAGCCCTCTGGAAAGCTCCCAGGATGCCTTGGGCGTAATCGGGACTGAAGTGAGTGGGCCCTGAAACCCTTGAGAGCTTTCCTGAGAAACGAGAAGGAGGCCAAAACAAGGAAAACCCGTGTCCATGGTGAGGTGTGTACTGCTGTGGTCGACAACTTGCTATCACTTACCCAAGCTGCCCTAGAGGCATCAGTTCTTTGTAGAAAAAGAACTTTGTATATTTTGAAGCCAGCCCTTTCTGTATTTTATTTAGAGACAGGGTCTCACTGAGTTGCTTGGGGTCTCACTAAGTTGCTGAGGCTGGCTTTGAACTTGCCAACTTCCTGCCTCAGCCTCCGGACTGGGAGTCATATACATTTCTGAGTGGTCCTTAAATAATTAAACAATTCGAAGACTTTTAAAATTTTGTTAAATCTCAGGAGAAAAATATCAGGAGTATGAGATAAGGCTGAAGCATAACAGGCCTTCCAAGATGGAATTTGAATGGCACACCCAAGGGGGGGGGGGTCAGGTGGTGTCTTAGGCCACAATGCAGCCTGGGCCTGTGAGGCTGGTGGGAGATCATGAAGACACACAAGATCTGGCGCTGAGAAGAGGAGCCACACTCCAAATGCCCCCTGTGGAATCGGATAAGCAGACGCAGTCAGCAGGAAGCTGAAATCACCCTGCAAAGCGCAGGCCGTGAGCCCCAGAAGAGGAGAAACAGAGTGAGCCATTAGTGGACTGAGTCATGCCCCCGACGCTCCCTGACAGGAAGGTTTCCCTCAGTCAGACCCCAGACATCGACTCCATTACGAGAGATGACCACAGGGTCATGCACACATACAGCAAGAGCTACAAACCAACGCTGAAGTCTGACCCAGTAATGTATCGGGCTCTGAGTCATGTCCTGGACGTGATTCACAGTGCTTTCAAATATCTGGCCTGATAATAACATTTTTTTTTCTCATAAAAATTACATTTTATGAGTAATCGTCAGACTGCTAGGAGGGTGAAAATATACTAAATAATTCCAGATTGACCTTTCTCATGGGCCAGCTCATAAGAGGTGCCATGATACAAAAAGTGAGACGTCATCCCTGCCCTGGACTGATATAGTCTAGAAGTCACCTAACTTCTCCTAACTAGAACATTCTCCCACCCCTCATCACTCTAATGCTTGTTCCTTGTCAGAAGCCAACAGAGGCCCTGCTCCCAGCTCCTTGGCCTGAGGCTGGCTGAGTCCCAACACATCCTCTCGGAGTCTCCAGCCTGGTGGAGGGCTAGGGGGACACGAGTGTGTGCAGAGCTCTTGGTGTGAGAGTCCTGTCCTTAGCCCTGTGACTGAAGGGGGATGTGATGCTCCATCTGATGAATTTTGGCTTGCCACCATCTCCTGCAGTTTTATATAAGAGGTCTGACAGATTCTCTTTGACTCTATATTCTCCTAATTCTTTCTCAGTGTCAAGGTAATGCTGGCCTCATAAGGTGGGCTCAGTACCCT